TATATTCACATACAACAATCGATATATTGTTCTCCCCCCTCTGTATGGTGACCTACAGCTGGCGCTTCCGCTTTTGCTGTTTGCAATGTTTCGCGTGGTGTCGAGTGACGCGGCATGGGCGGTCTTGGTCCGCTTAAGCATTTATTATTACGTGATCATCATGTGGTTGTGGTTGCAATCTTGAGGTTGTGGTTTCCACCGGCTCTGTGCTGTGGCCTCCTGCGTATTTGGTGCGCTTCCCGCTCCAGGCTCTGAATTTCAGCGTTTGCTCACATATCCTCCCCCTTCTCCGCCTCATCATCATGCCATTCCTGCTCCTGCCGATTACCGCTCCTCCCTCCTCCATCTCCCCATCCTCCTTTTCCCCCTCCCCAGGGCCTGGGAAGTCAGGGGGGGCTTCGGGAATGGGAGGATCTGGAAGGAGGGTGGGGGGACGGGGCGGGGCGGCAGGCGGCAGAGGGGAAGAGGCGGGAAAGAGCGAGGCAGGGAGGCAGGAGGCACCGGGGAGGTTGCCTGCCCGACCGCCCGCGCGCCTGCCTGCCTGCCCGTCGTCGTCCTCGTCGTCGCCGTCCTCGCCGCCCGTCGTCGTCGAGCGAGCGTTAAGTCGGGCCTGTCCCCCTACAGGGGGATTTTCGACGAAAAATACAAATTATCCCCGCAAAGCAACCTAACAGCGATGTGTAGGAGCATATCTGGAAGCATTCCCCTTAAGAATCAGATGAGAATCCAGTTGTAGAATTCTGCTGTTCTCGCAGTCGCAGTCGCATTCGCGATGACAGTCGCAGAGGCAACGGCAGTCGCAGTCACAGCCTCAGCCTCAGCCTGCCTCAGCCTCAGCCTGCCTCAGCCTCAGCCTCAGCCTCAGCCTGCCTCAGCCTCAGCCTCAGCCTGCTTCAGCCTCAGCCTCAGTCTGCCTTCAGCCTCGGCCTCATCCTCAGCCTGCCTCAGCCTCAGCCTGCATCAGCCTCAGCCTCAGCCTCAGCCTGCCTCAGCCTGCCTCAGCCTCAGCCTCAGCCTGCCTCAGCCTCAGCCTCAGCCTGCCTCAGCCTCAGCCTCAGTCAGCCTTCAGCCTCGGCCTCAGCCTCAGCCTCAGCCTCAGCCTCAGCCTCAGCCTCAGCCTCAGCCTGCCTCAGCCTCAGCATCAGCCTGCCTCAGCCTCAGCCTCAGCCTCAGCCTCAGCCTGCAGCCTCAGCCTCAGCCTCAGCCTCAGCCTCAGCCTCAGCCTTCAGCCTCAGCCTCAGCCTCAGCCTCAGCCTCAGCCTGCCTCAGCCTCAGCCTCAGCCTCAGCCTCAGCCTCAGCTGCCTTCAGCCTCGGCCTCAGCCTCAGCCTCAGCCTCAGCCTCAGCCTCAGCCTCAGCCTGCCTCAGCCTCAGCCTCCTCAGCCTCAGCCTCAGCCTCAGCAGCCTCAGCCTCAGTCTGCCTTCAGCCTCGGCCTCAGCCTCAGCCTCAGCCTCAGCCTCAGCCTCAGCCTCAGCCTCAGCCTGCAGCATCAGCCTGCTTCAGCCTCAGCCTCAGCCTGCCTCAGCCTCAGCCTCAGCCTGCTTCAGCCTCAGCCTCAGTCTGCCTTCAGCCTCGGCCTCAGCCTCAGCCTGCCTCAGCCTCAGCCTGCCTCAGCCTCAGCCTCAGCCTGCCTCAGCGTGGGGAATGGAGTTCTGGGAACTCGAAGAACACGAAGTGGCCTGCAGTTGGCTCCGGGCATTCAAAATCATGCCCAGGAATGGAGTTCTGGGAACTCGAAGACCACGAAGTGGCCTACAGTTGGCTCCGGGCATTCAAAATCATGCCCAGGAGTGGAGTTCTGGGAACTCGAAGACCACGAAGTGGCCTACAGTTGGCCCCGGGCATTGAAAATCATGCCCGGGAATGGACTTCTGGGAATTCGAAGACCACGAAGTGGCCTACAGTTGCCTCCAGGCATTCAAAATGTGGCCCGGGAATGGAGTTCTGGGACAGTCGAAGACCACGAAGTGGCCTACAGATGCCTCCGGGCATTCAAAATGTGGCCCGGGAATGCAGTTCTGGGATTTCGAAGACCACGAAGTGGCCTACAGTTGGCTCCGGGCATTGAAAATCATGCCCAGGAATGGAGTTCTGGGACCTCGAAGACCACGAAGTGTGCAACTGTTTGCTTAAAACTACTTCCGCGGATTTTCCCCGGCACCCGCCCAGACCCCCCTGGGGAGTCAAGATGCTCTAGAAACCTATCAGTCTTCGCTGTTAGGTAAATACCCCCCCACAGAATCAAAAAATAACACAAAAATGTTCGAACGCCCGTCTTACAGCGAGCGTCGATCCTCTCATGGAGTCTGGGCGAACTGGGCCCTCGCTGGGCCTGCGGAGGCGGCGCCACCGGGGGCGATCTCCCGAGACCCCCTGGAGGAGCTCCGAGGACCGAGGCTCGAGGACCGAACCTGCGGGGCACCACACATATATGAGACATCTTTAATATATACATATATACATACATATGATATATGTATATGTATATGTGTATGTACACATATATATGTGTGTATATATATATATATACATGTGCACATCTGTATGTATATATATATATATAGATTGGTCCGCCCTGGGCCTCGGCGGGGGCGCCCTCGGCGAGATCCCTCTCCAGGTCCTGGCCAGAGCGCGCCCCGCGTCGTGTCCGGGGGTTGCCTTCGCCGCCGCCGGCGTCGTCCGTTTGCGTCGTCCGGCGTCCGGCGTCTGGCTTCCGTCGTCATCGTAGTCGTCGTCGTCGTCGTGATCGTCGTCATCGTCGTAGTCCGTCTGCGTCGTCCGTCGTCCGTCGTCGTCGTCCACCGTTTCGGAGCTGATCCGTTTCGCTCCAAACGGGTCGGGCTTCAGCATCCCATTTTCCGAGGGAGGCGAGAGTCCCACGCTCGAAGTTCCGAAGATTTCGCGATCGATTTGAACATCTCCATTGTATGAGGGATGTCTCATGCGAAAGCGTGATGTTTAGCATGCGACGACTTAAACGAAATCATCAACAATCTCCATTTGGTGAGGATGCCTCGGGCGAAACGCTTACTCTGAAAATCTCTCCTGACATGAGCGGGAAGCGCGGGAAAGAGGCGAGCTCTGCGAATCTCTAATGGGCATACCATTCATAAACCTGTTCCTTATTCTTCTCCTCACTCCTCTGTACTCCAATTCCCCCCGTCTCCCCCTCACTTGCATCATTATCGTTACAAGTATCATCGTCATTATCACCAACAGCAAGGTACCAGTATCATCGCCACCATCACCAGAAACATCATGAGCAATCTCACCATCATCATCATCATCATCATCATCATCATCATCATCAATATCAGCACCGAGGTCAGCATCAGCGTCAGCGTAAGCATCAGCTTCGGTATCATCAACGGCATCTTCATCAACATCACCATTTCAATCAGCATCAGTAAGCATCAACCTACTCGTCGGCGTCCGCATCCGTATCTGATGTTTCCGAGGACCCGTCCGACACACATCTTGTGATAATGCCTCGAGCGAAACGCTTACGCGTGAGAACATGCACTGCAAAACGCTTGCTTGTCGTTCGGGCCTCCATGAAGCCGACCCATTTGGTGCCAAATGGGTCGGTTTTCCGTGAATGCAAACTGCGCTGTTTGACAACGCCCCGCTTGCAGGCTGAGCTCGCTTGACAAGTCGAACCGTCCTGTCCTTGGCCTTCTTGGCTGCTGGCGGGCTGGCGGCCTGGACCGAGCCCTCAGTGCGCCGCCGCAGCGCCGAGCGCACCGCGCAACAGCCTGGCGCCGCCCCCCTTCGCGTGCCCTGCTCTCAGTGTCGTTTAACTGGCCCCCATCCCCATCCTCATCTCCTTCGGGCCCCCCACCAAATTACCACCCCAGTTGGGAATACACCCCTCGAAACCCGAAAGGAACGGCCTATATCCCCATCCAGGGGGGTAAATCGGCCAGTGGGACCCAGGCCACGCCGCTGGGGATGGGGGTCGGATAAACGATGCTCATGCTCGGATAACCGAGCAGAGCATGTGAAGCTGGTCTGACGATGTGAAGGTGGTCTTGCGGCCGGGGCCGACTCCCTTCAGATGCCCTGCTCGGATATCCGACCAGAGCATGTGAAGCTGGTCTGGCCGTTTGGGCCGACCCCCTTCACATGTCTTGCTCGGATATCCGAGCAGAGCATGTGAAGGTGGTCTGGCGGCCGGGGCCGACCCCCTTCACATGTCCTGCTCGGATATCCGAGCAGAGCATGTGAGGCTGGTCTGGCGGTCGGAGCCGACCCCCTTCACATGTCCTGCTCGGATATCCGAGCAGAGCATGTGAAGCTGGTCTGGCGGCCGGGGCCGACCCCCTTCACATGCCTTGCTCTGATATCCGAGCAGAGCATGTGAATGCAGTCTTGCGGCCGGGGCCGACCCCCTTCACATGCCTTGCTCGGATTCTCCGAACAGAGAATGTGAATGCAGTCTCGCGTCCAGGGCAGACCCCTTTCACATGCTCTGCTCGAATATCCGAGCTGAGCATGTGAACTGGGTTGACGGGACCCCTCCGGGCATGTCCTAAATCTATTGGGAATTTTGCGGGACGAGCTCAGCGCTGCTGCGGCGCGGGGTCCCTGGAAGCTTCGCGCATGACATGCTCTGCTCGGATATCCGAGCAGAGAATGTGAAGGGTGTTCGGCCCCGCCCGCCAGACTGCCTTCACGTGCTCTGCTCGGATATCCGAGCAGGAAATAAGAGGGGGGTCGGCTCCAGCCGCCAGATCATCTTCACATGCTCTGGTCGGATATCCGAGCAGGACACGTGACGGGAGGGGGTCGGGGGCCCGCGGCAGGGGGGGATCACCTTCACATGCTTTGCTCGGATATCCGAGCAGGACGTGTGAAGGGGGGCGGCCCCAGACTGCTGCGGGGCGCGCTCGGGGTTGCGGCGGCGCACTGAGGGGTCGAGCTATTTTTTGGGGGGAAGGGGGGGCGAACAACAAACAGTAGAGGGAAACACTTACTGAACACTCCTCCTCCCCCCCAAACTTACAGTTGGCACGCGCTGGGGAGACTGCGGTCGACGTGCAACTCATCAGACCCACCGCCAATTTTGAACATTTGGGGGAGGGGGAGGCGTTGACAGATAAATGTGGCATGAGTGTTCGCTATTCTTTCCGAGTTCTGAAACACGCGTGTTGCAATGCGTTTAGTCACGCGTAAGTCGCTCGAGGTTTCCTCAACTATATTTTCGGACGGGCCATCGGAAACACGAACTTGTGATGCGGATGCCAATGATGACGTTGATGTTTATGATGGTGATGCTTATGAAGATGCCGTTGATGACGCTGAAGTTGATGCTTACGCTGATGCTCTTGCTGATGACTGTGCTTATGTTGATGCTGATGGTGGCGACGTTCCTGGTACGATGATGATATTGATGTTGGTGATGGTGACGACGATATGGTAAAGGTGATGATGGACGTGAGGGGGAGAGGGGAAACTGGAGGAGTAGGGAGAAACAGGAACAGGCGTGTGAACGGAATGCCTGGTGGGCGTTCGGAGAGATCGCTTCTTTTACGCGCTTCCCGTTCATGTCAGGAGATATTTTCAAAGTAACCGTTTCGCCCGAGACATTCTCACCAAATGGAGATGCATGACGATCTTGTTTAAGATGCCTTACGCTAAGCATGACGTTTTCGCCTGAGACGTCCTCATGAGATGGGTAAGTTGAAATCGGTCGCGAAATCTTCGGATCTTCGAGCCTTGTCTTCGAAAGTGGGGCTCGCCTGCGACATCCTTGAACAGAATGGATGGTGAAACCCGACCCGTTTGAAGCGAAATGGGTCGGTTTCGAAACGGTCGACGACGACGAGGACGACCACGGACGACCGAGGACGGACCACGACCACGGATATGGACGACGCCGGCGACGACGACGCGACGACGACCGACCGACGACGAAGGACCAACGACGGACGTCGCACGACGGACGAAGGCGACTACCGACGACCGACGACCGACGACCGACGACGACGACGATGACGCCGACGACGACGAGACGACGGTCGACGGTCGACGGACGACGCCAACGGACGACGCCGACGCACGACGCCGGCGTCGGCGAAGCCGACCCCTGGACCCTGTCCTGGGGCGCGTTCTGGCCAGAATCTTGAGGCGGATCCAGCCGCGGGCGCCCCCGCCGAGGCCTGGACCGGACCAGCGATGCCCCGGCATCTCGGTCCTCGGGCCTCGATCCTCGGCCCTCCGTGGGCCCCCTCCGGAGGCCCCCGCTGGAGGCCAACACCGCCAACGGTTTTCTCGTATACAGTGGGGGTCGATGCACAAGAAGCCCACCGCAAGAGACCCAGCCCTGAAATCCGCCGAGGCGCCTTGATCCAGGGTTGGGCTTCTTGCACTTCGGCTGCGAAGGAAGTGACCCGGGGCACCCTGGCCCGAGCGGTTTCTTGATTGGTGGCGTCAAGCAGTTTGACATCCGCAAACCCCATGGCGATCGAAGATGCAAGCTGCGGGCCTTGCACCAACAGAAAGGCTGCGACTTCTCCTCGGGGTGTTCCTCAGATTTGCGTCTTGGGACCTGCTTTTGGCCTAGGCCCGCCGTGGCCAGAAAAGCCCTTCCGTTCATTATGGTGTTTTCCTTATGGTGGCACGATGACTGTAGCCCACCCCGCCCAGGAGCGCGCGGATTTGCTATTGGGGGCTCATCGCCGATCCATGGGCGCTGCATCACCGATTCCAGGTCGATGGCACGGGGAGGTTGACAGCAACACCAACACCAACACCAATATCGGCGGTGTGCCTCCACCGAGGGAAGATGATCCCGATCTCGGTGATGGTGGTAATGTTCGGGCTTTCTAGGTGGCCGAAATATTTCCACCAGCGCCAGCGTCCAGGATCATCTTCCCCCGGCGGAGACAAACCCCTGTGTTGGTGTTGGTGTTCATTTCCAGCCCTCCAAGGGGGAGAGGGGATGGGGGAGGACGCCCCAGGGGCCCCGCAGAGGGTTCGGCAGACGCTGGGACGTCGCCCGAGTGGTCCCGCCTATCCCTCCTTCCTCTCTTGCGGCATGGTCCCTGCAGCGGCGAGGATATCTCAGGACAACGGTCTGCCCCGAAGGAATGGCGAAATGTCGAAGTAAGCGGCATTTTGGGGTCCCCAGGGGCTCGGTGGTCGATAGGAGCAATTTGCTTGGGAAGCACGCTGGCTGGAGTCTCTTATGGGAACTTTTCGTACCCGTTCCCCTTTCCCCGCTCACCCGCCTTCCTCGCATGAGGGAAACAGAGCAGGAGTGGACCGAAACGGTGTTTTGGCGATCTCGTGGGCCGCTTTCGCTCCGATGTCGTTTTGCAGCGAAGGCGGGTTGAAGACAGAGCGAGCAACAAACACAACAACGGACACAACACGGAAGGGAAACGACGAAGGGAAAACGACGAAGCGACAAACACAAACAAGCGACAAGGGAGGAAGGGAGGAACGAAAGGGAAGAGCGAGCGACAAACGACGAAGGGAAGAACGAGCGACGAACACACACAACGACGAAGGGACAAAACGAGCACAAACAACGGAAGCGAGAACAACACACACTGCTCAGGGCGAGCCCCGACACACGGAGACCCCTCCCCCACCGCCCCCCTGCCTCGGACCGTCCCCCCTGGGCGGCGGCACGCCCCGAAGCGTCGTCACGGTGCTCGGGTGACGCTCCCGCGTACCGCCCAGGAGTCGCCCCCCGCCCCCCCCACCCCATGGGTTCTCTCGGGCCGGACGAGAGGGGGGGATAGGGAAAGGGGGGGTTACGAAACCTGCTGCACGCAGCTGGTTTCGGCCCCGCCGAGGGGCCCATGCCTCGATGCATGGCCGCCTCCCGGCGCCGGGAAGCGCCGGGAGGATCAGCTACGTGAGCTGATTCTCCCCCCCCCCCTTGCTATCCCCCCCCCTTTCGCCCGGCCCGACCCGTGGGTTCTCGGCGGCGGTGGTCTCTGTGTCTCGTCCGAGGCCTCGTACGAGGGCTGTGGTAGATGTGGCAGGTCTTGCTCTTCTGTGCGGGTGCTCCCTCTCCGGTGCTTCTCTCGCTTTCGCAGAGCGCCCCGTGCGGCTGCCTGGAGCGACACGTGCTCCTGCATACAGCGATTTTATTGTACGCCCTCAGACGTAGGTCTGACAGGGCCCGTGGAGTCTGGCGGGGATCGCGCTTCGCTGGCAGCCGCCGAAAAGAGACATGAGCAGGAGCAACGTTAGGGGAGGATAGGCTTAGGGGGGATGCTAGACCAGACCCCCCTTATCTGGTCACAAGTATCACAAGTTATTGTGTACACGGTAAGTTATGGCATCAAGATATTCAGTGCAGTGGTAATAGCACGTCTAGGCAATGTTAATTTATAATCGCAACATAACGGTGCTATTAACAATGCGCGGGGCGAAGAGAAGAGAAGGAGTGTGAAGAGGTGAAGTGCGGTACGGAGTAGGAGCAGGAGGAACGACGGAAGGATGATGCTGATGATGATGATGATGATGATGATGAGGAGGATGAGCAGGATGAGGATGAGGAGGAGAAGGAGGAGCAGCAGCAGCAGGAGCAGCAGCAGCAGGAGCAGGAGGAGGAGGAGGAGGAGGAGGAGGAGGAGGGGGAGGAGGAGGAGGAGGAGGACGAATGAAGGAGGAAGGAAGGGGAATGGATGGAAGGACGAATGGGGGTTTGAGAACGACGAGGGTGCACGGAGTCGTGCGTGCGTGGCCTGTGCGGGCCGGGCCGCCTGGCCAGGACTCCTCCTCCTCCTCCTCCTCCTCCTCCTTCCCTCCTCCTCCTCCTCCTCCTCCTCCTCCTCCTCCTCCTCCTCCTCCTCCTCCTCTCCTCTCCTCCTCCTCCAAACCTCCTCCTCCTCCTCCTCCTCCCCTCCTCCTCCTCCTCCTCGTCGTCCTCCTCCTCCTCCTCCTCCTCCTCCTCCTCCTCCCCCTCCTCTTCCTCCTCCCCCTTCTCCTCCTCCTCCTCCTCGGCTGTTCTTCTCCTCGTCTCTCGTCTCTCCCCCAAGAGTGCACAAGAAAAGAGAAGAGTGCACAGCATGGGTACCACTCTCTACCTCCCCCCCTGCAATGCACGCGCGATCTTCTTGCAGTCGAGTCGCTCTCGGTCCTTCAGAGCGGTGTTCCCGCTGCAGCGTTGGCCGCATTTCAGGAGGGGTGCTCTGCTCCCGTCGTTCAGCATGGCCTTCTGGCCCCTGCGCGGGCCACACTTCTGGACCCGATTCGTTCCTCGTCGTGGCCGCCCCCCCCCTTTCCCCTCCTCCGCCTTCCCCAGACCCTCTTGGTCCTGCTGCTGCTGCTCCTCCTCTTCCAGCACCTCCTCCTGCTCCTCCTCCTTCCCGATCTTCCTCTCCTCCGCCTCCTGCTCATCCGCCTCCTGCTCCTCCTCGTCCACCTCCTCTGTAGAGCTCCCCCCCTCTCCGATTGCGCAGCGATCGGTGATTCAAATCCTCCTCGTCTCCCCTCCCCTCCTCCTCTTCCATCTCCTTTGTCCTCGCTCCTTCTCCTCCTTGGTCCGCTGCTCTCCTCGTCCTCCTCCCTTCTGTCCTCTCTTCTGCTGTGAGGGTCTACTGCCTCACCGCCGTTCTCCGCAGTAGGCTTGCCGCTCGCGCGTCGAGCAGTGTCGTCGCCTGTCCTGACCTGTCCTGTCCTTCTCTCCTCGTCCTTTGCCTGCTTCTGTTCTGTCCCCGACCTCCAGGACGTGCAGGGAACAGCCGCACGAAAGGCTGCGTCTCTCCTCTGGCCTCCCCCCTTCCCTCGTCCTTAGGATCCAACCCCCTGGGAGGTTACACTCAGCACCGGCGCTGGTACGGCGCTGGTATATCCGTGATCGAACACAGGCCTGATCCGCCAGAGTGCCGCTCAATCAGGCAAGCTCCCGCCACATCCTGTCCAAGCAGACCTAATCCTGGGCCTGTGCCGGGCGCAAGCTGGTAAAACGACACTAATGGGGCTTGCCCGCCCCTCATCGTTCTTACGACGACCACCCAGGATCGGGTGAGCGTAAGACCCGGGTTTGCCAGGACTCGGGTTCGCCATCGTTTTTTGACGACCGCGACTCGTATTTTGACGAGTGGGAGTTTCGCGGGATGTCTGCAGCGGGAGGCCTCGTCAAAATGCAGGCTCGGCCTCGTCATTTTTTTGACGACCTCGTCGGGGATTTCCGAGTCCCCTGTACCCGGGTCCTACGCCCCCCTGACAGGAGGTGATTTCTGACCCCTCAGCTTGCGGCACACCTCCCCGCACGGGGGCCTCTCTGGCACGTCCCCTGGCACAGTGCCCCGCGCAGCCCTGCGGCCAGCCCAGGGCTTTCGAACCTCGATCCGTGATCCTCGATGGTCGATCTTCGATCCTGTATCCTCTCCTCGATCCTCCCCCTCCCCCTCTCTCCCTCCCTCCCTCCCTCCTTCCTCCTAGAATCGGACTGGCGATCCTCCATCGTCGAGGAGAGGGAACGAGAGAGAGAGAGAGAGAGAGAAAGAAATAGAGAGAGAGAGAGAAAGAGATCCCTCTCTCTCCCTCTCTCCTTCTCTTATATCTATGCGTTTATGGATATATCGAAGACGCCTACGGTGGATCACCGCCGCCCCCTGCTTTTGGAAGCGCCTGTGTGACCAAGCGTTTTGGCTAGAGCTTGGCGAAGCTATCGGACCATGTGTTCCCACAGCCGTCGTCGAATCCCTTCGGGGAACACGTGAGGAGAAAAAGGAAAAGTGAGGAGGAGGAGGAGGAAGAGAAGGAGGAGGGAACGAAGGAGGAGGAGGAGGAGGAGGAGGAGGAGGAGGAGGAGGAGGAGGAGGAGGAGGAGGAGATCTCTTGGGAGCCTTTTGGGCACTCTTGGGGTCTCCTGGGGGCTTCCGTAGAGCCTCTTGGAGGCCTCTTGGGGGTCTCTTTCGGGCTCTTAGCAGCCTTTGGGGCCTCTTTTGGGTCTCCTCTTTGGCAGTCTTGGGGCGTTCCTGGGCCGCCGCCTTGCCTCTCTGGACCGTCTTGGGGCCTTCTTGGGGTGCTTCACTTCAGGGCCGTCTTGGAGGCCATCTTGGCCGTCATGGAGGCCTCGTGGGCCTTCTTGGGCCCCCCTCTGGGCCGTCTTGGGGGCTTCTTGGTCCGTCCTGGGGCCATTTTGGAGGCCTCTGGGGCGCTCTGGGGGCGCTCTGTGGGGGCCCCTTGGGCATGCCTCTTGGGCCTGCCTCTTGGGCCCCTCTTCGGGGCCGGCTTGGGGCCCTCGTGGGCGATCCTTGGCACACGTTGGGCAGTTTGGGGGCCCTCTTGGACCGCCTTGAGGCCCTCTTGAGGCCCTCTTGGGGCCTCTTGGACCGTCTTGGGGCGGTCTTGGGGGCCTCTGGGGCCATCTTGGAGCGTCGGAAGCCCAAAAACGCGAGAACGCGAAACACAAAGGAACATCAGTGATGTGCGCCTCCTTGGGGCTTCTTGGGGGTCCGCTTGGAGCGCTCTTGGGGCCATTGTGGGCGTCTTCGGGCGCTCTTATTGGGCAGTCTTGGAGGCCTCTTGGACCCTCTTGGGCGCTTTCCAGGGCCCTCTTGGTCCGTCTTGGGGCCCTCTGGCCTCTGGCGGGGCAGCCCAAGAGCGCGCGGGAACGCCCCGGAAATTTGGGATGTTGAGGCCCCAGCTCCTGGAATGCTAGCATCCCAGAGTCCTGAGTACAGAGAGCAGGGGACGCATGAGGACCTGGAGGAAACCACTTCGCGGCTCGTGGCACGGTGGCGGATACATTTGCATGTACACATATCAATAGATCGATAGATAGATATATAGGTTAATCTATGTGTATAGGTACCGGTTTGTTGTATGCAGATATGCATGCATGTATGCAGGTATGTATGTTTGTATGTGCGCATGTACGTATGCATGCATGCATGCATGCACACATATAAACATATATGCATGCATGTATGTATGCATGCATACACGCATGTATGCATGCATGCATGTATGCATGTATGTATGTATGCATGTGTGTATGTAGGTTTGCATGCATGCATGTATGTATGCATGCATGTTAACCTTTGTATGTATACAGGTATACTAACATGTGCGTGCACATCTGTTTCCACCCACATGCATATACATGCATATGTGGGCACGTATGTACATCTACCTATGTGTATGCTATGGTCGTGTGTAGAACGTTTCGTAGGCGTGTCTAGATACAAACACATACATCGATGCACATACACACATATATGTATACATGTATATACATATGTATATATATATATATATGTATATAGTGGCCTGTGGTCCTGCCCGCCGCTGTGCTTGGGGTATGGACCGGCGACCTCTTCGATGCCTCTTGGGGCTTTCTCGGCGGCTTACCGGGGGCCTCTTCAGGGCACCGCTGTGGCCCTTGCGGTGCCGCCGGGAGGCCTCTTGGTGGCTTATCGGGGGCTCCTATAAGGGCCTCTTGGTGGCCGCCTCGTGGTCTCGGAGGCAATGTTGAGGCTCAGGGGTCCAAGTGGCAGTGCGTGTTTCTTGGGGCCGTCGTGGGAGCATCTTGGGCTTCTCTTCTGGGCTCGGACATTCTGTTGGGCCGATGTTTAGGGTCTTAGGCCGTCTGGGACGCTCAGATGACCGAAAAGCGAAATGGGCGACGAAAAACATTGGGGTCGTCTTCGCCGACATTGGCGCGTAAGTTGCTCGCGTAAGGTCGCGCGTAAGCGCTCTCGCTTCCAGCGTAGCGTGCCGCGCTGGCAGCCCGCGTGAGCCACCGTGTACGATCGCTATCCCATCCCGCGTAAGATCCATTTTGGATCGTTGTTCAAATGTTTACTTTATCAGCGAATGCTGTAGTGGGCCTCACTTGCATGCAGGAAACCAACTTCTAGAACTCCGAATGCGAAACATCTCCCAGGCTAGCCCTTCCGCTCTTCACAGCCCTGGCCACTTTCCCTTCCCTTGATCCCATCTCTGGCGACCTCATTCCAACCGTTTTGCGCCCGTTCTGGCCTCTGCCAGTCTTCCAGCCTCGGCCACTGCTCACCCACCAAACCACCCCGACCCAACCCGAAGGCCCCAATTTGCACTCCACTCCCACTGAGGGAGGGCGTTGGGGAATATGGGCAAAAGAACCCGTACACTCCCCCAC